CCTCACCCAGCCATGGAATATCCCTGCCCTGGCTTCTCAGAAAGGGCCAAGAGGTCTTATTTGCGATTGCATGACCCACCTCCCACTCCTTACGGACAGGAGACTTAAGTGCTGAGCCCATCACCTTCTTTGACCAACAGACTACTTACTCATACCTAAAGCAGGAGTCCATACTTGACCACTTTGGTTTATTTGCACACCTACTATTTGCTAAACACCAGGCCCTATCCTGGATGCTGGAGGGTTAGCGGTGAGCAGGACCCTGAGAAAATTTTTATCTTCATTAGAGGGTGGGCAAACAAAAAGAAAAAGTGACAGCAGTGGTAAGTGCTGGAGGGACTCCACCAGCAGAGTGGGGGAAGCAGTTGGAGGGGGGTGCGGGCAGGGGTGGGGTTTCTCAGAGGGGGCACCTGAGCGCCAAACTGAAAGGCAGGGCACAGTCCTCCACACCCCTCTCCTACACAAGTTCTCACCACTTTCTCACCAGGCGTCTTTTAACCACTGAGACCAGTGAGATTTATAAAGCTTTCAGATTCCCTGGTCCATGTAAGTCAAAAAATAATAGCAACTTATCACTTATCCCCTTCTAACTGCAATCATCCACAGATCCGCTGCCAAATAATATTGTTCACCCAGGTGATTATCTACCTAGCTCTTGCACCTCTGCTTAAAAACAAACAGGAAAAAAAAAAAGAAGAAAAAGAAAATTCTTCTCAAAAGCTCTCCTATAGTCTCCCTGCACTGCCGTGCAAACAGCCAAAATCAAATGAAGATATAAATCGTTCTTGCAGGCCACTCTTCCTGTTCCTGCCCACGTCCTGGTGCCGCCCAGGCCCTTCCTACAGTTCTTGTTTGTGCTTTATCTGAGACTTAAAACCCTGGGCAGGGATCCTTTCTCAATGCTCAAGGCACAATAAAATATTAAATATGGTGAGTCAATATCACAGTGCAGGATGCCCAAGTAACTCCCAGGAGAGGCCTAAGTATCTCAATCAATACCACAAGCCCAAGACACAAATACCCTCCCCTGTTCTCTCTTCCCTAACCCAAGAAAAGCAGCGCTGGAAAGAACCACTGCTTCCACAGGGGACCTTCTGTGGGCAATACAGCAGAAGAACGTGAAGCATCCGTAAACCTGCCATGGGTCAGGTCCAAGGCAAATACTCAGCCAAGTGGAAATTAAGGAAGCAGATCCTGGCTCAAGAGAAAGAATATTCTAGGAATTCAACCTGCTCAGGACTACACTGCCAGGGCGGCGGGGGGAGGGGGGGACAGGGAGAAGCAAATGTAAGCTGCTGCAACCTTTATGGCATGCAGTTTGGCAATATATGGACAGATGGCCTTAGAAAAGTACATCCCCCTGATGCAGAACTTCCTTCCTATGTGCTGGTCAAGGGTCTTGCCACCTCTTACTTTCCTAATCGTCGTTCCAGCTCTACCTGCTACTTCTGGGTTGCTCTCTGGATTTCCCGGGGCCCTGTGTAGCCCGGTGGAAGGAGACTACCCCTCACACACTCACCCAGGAACCCCCAACACCAAGCACGTGTCTGGTACATGGCAGGCACCCAACATTTCACATGAATGGACTTCGGGTTGAGAAGAATCCTGAAATAGTTAAGTGTATGGATGTTCATTTAGGTTTTTAAAATACTGAAAAATCAGAACCAATTAAGTATCTAATAAAGGACTGGATGAGTAAATTAGGCTACGGCCATAAAGTTGAGTGCTGTGCGGCCATAAACTCGCTGTGGTCTGAAAGTGCTCCAGGAGCCCCGAGCGGATACTGTAGACCTCCCCAGCCACGCAGATTCAGGAACTGAGCAGGGTCCCCGCTCTGCAGACTCCCCAGAAACTAATCTAGTGAGGAGACAAAACTCCAGATGTTCCCATCAAAAGCCCCAAAGCCAGAGTAAGACCCACTGTTTGGCCTGGGGCAGAGTGACAGGAGAGAAACCAGAGAGAAACCGGAGAAAGGAACAGGGTCTTGCTGCCTCGCACAGCCCACATCCACCCAGCAGCACACCTGTCCTCTCCACTCTGTCCCCGAAATACGAGTCTGAAAGTCCTCCCATGCAAATGCCATAGGGCCAGTCTTAGAGGCCCACGTCCCAGCATGAGTGGGGTGCAGAGGAACAGCAGAGCAACCAAGCCAACACCTGGCAGCAAAAGAGGACAAACAGAAGGGCACAAGGTGTTCAAAAGGCAGGGCCTGTGTCCCAGAAGAAAAACGGAAGCGTCAAGGAGGAAAGGGAAATTCTCACAAACACCTCATGCTCCGAGACAGCAAGAACATGAATTCAGGAACAGGGGTGCAAAGATGAGAAGATGAAACAACAGAGGAAAGGGAGAGGAGACACCCAAGAAAATGACCAAAACACAGCCAAAGGAGAGGCGCCTGGGTGGCTCAGTCGGTTGAGCCTCCGATTTCTCGATCTCAGGGCTGTGGGATCAAGCCCCACGTTGGGCTCCATGCTCAGCATGGAGTCTGCTTGAGATTCTCTCTCTCCTTCTGCCCCCACCCCGGCTCATGTGTCTCTCCCCCTCTAAATAAATTAATTAAATAAAATAAAAACACAGCCAAATGAGTGAGTTAAAGCAACAAAGTGTGGGATACACAGCTGAAAACGGAATCATTCACTCAAAGGGTTATGAACAGCATACAGGATGCTAGTTGGAGAGATAGATAAAAACAAGAATGAAAAGCAGACAACAGTTATCCAACAGAAAGAGTCTCTGAGGCGGGGATTCTGATAAATGGAACATTAGACGCATTTTTAAAAATACACATACAGAACAAGAAAATTTCCTGAAGTGGTTAAAGGAATTAATCTGCATACTGAAAGAACACATTGAATTCCAGAAAAATTTAACACAATGTGCTCAAGGCAGTAACAGATCACAACCAAGTTACTAAACTACTTACCCTCAAAGACACAGACAGTTATGGGCACAAAGAGCACAGTAAAAGCGAGGGGGGAGAAAAAGGCCACCCTGAGATTTCTCCCACTGCCTCGTTAAATACAGGAAGACCCTGGAGCAATGGCCACTATGCTCTGGATGGCCAGAGACTATCATCCCCAGCCAAGATGTCCCTCAAGTCCAAAAGCAAGGGACAGACACCTGTAAATGTGAGACATTACTGGGAGAAGAAAACAGGAATCTAGGCAATTAAGAGATGAGCCAAAATTGGGGCGCCTGGGTGGCTCAGTCGGTTGGGCGTCCGACTCTTGATCTCAGCTCAGGTTTTGATCTCAGGATCATGAGTTCAAGCCCCACACTGGGCTCCATGCTGGGCATGGAGTCTACTTAAAAAAAAAAAGAGAGAGAGAGAGAGAGGAGCCAAAATTAAAGATTCTGTATTGGGAAAGCCATACCTGAGAAAAAGCATTAGGTCAATTTAAATAGAGGACAGAACCAAAGAATGACGGACAGCATCGTGACGGACAGAATGAAAAGTACAACATGAAGTTAGTAACAACACATTTTTAAATGAGGAACTGGAGAGGAAGAGGGGAAGAATAAGAGTGCCGGCATCCCTGTCCTCTAGGCTGGGGATTGAACACACATGGTCAAAATTGCAACACTGCTTTAAAAAGCTGCAATCCTAACCCTGTGATGCTTTCACAAATCTCTTCCCTTAACCTTCGATGAACCTTTTAGAAAATAGGCTCTCGTGTTAAGGAAACATTTTTGAACTCTGGTTTTACTTCAGCTTCTCATTTACTGAGATCAAGTAAAACTTAATACTTTTGTTACAAAATAGCATTGTCCATTATTAGCATTGTAACTATTTTATTACAAAATAGCAGGGTTGCATTTTCACAAAGGTACTTCTGTCTGTCTACATTGTCCCTGCCCTAAGTGCAGTATAAAGTGGTCTTGATGAGGTGAAGCCAGGGTGACCAGAGGTTACTTTGGGTGGCTAGGATGTGGGGTGAGAGACATTTTCTTCTTCGTACTTGTCAAGCATTGATGGATTAGATTAAATGTGCGTCGTTTTTATGATTTTATACAAATACAGAAGGATTTGTCTTAACTAGTACAAAACACAACAGACTGGGGGAAAAAAAACATATCAAGATGTTAGCAATGCTTAGAATTGGATGGTGGATGTGGTAAAAATTTTCTCCTCTGTACTTTTGTATATTTTTCCAGGAAAAAAAAAAATCCAATATTAAAGAATGTGCAGTGATGTTGGAGATTTATGGTAGCGAGTAAAGTGTTCAGAGAAAAAACAAAGCTAGAAGCCTCTACGTGTATTAGCACACGTACACAAAAGAGTGATGAGCACTGAGAAGGGGGTATGGAAGATCTCCTTGTCCTTCTCACTTACCAACTTAACTTCTGGAAGGTGAACATTTCTGACTTGTGTAGTTAAAAAGACACATCTTGCTCTTGTTTTTGAATAGAAGGGGCTCCTCAGATGTGACGATCCCTAGCCCCAGCGATGCTGGCAGGGCAGGGAGAGCATCACTGTAGGAGGACTGAAACCCCAGATGAAGAGGATGAGGGGATTTCAAAATTCCCGTGGAGCACAGCAGTCCAGTGATGCAGCATAAATGTGGGACGGGGGGGTGAAGACTGCCCTGAGTCACACAGAACCCTCAAACGCTTCCCCTGTACCATTACCATAGGGGCACAAACCCAAGAAGACATTTGTTAGGTCAGAAACAAAATTAAGGAGAAAAGGGCACCATTCATACTCAATGAGATAGAGCACCCTGAATAACACACCACGTGAAAGCCTGGCATGCCCAAGCTAAGGTGCCCAAGCTTGTAGCTTTTATGTGCTTTTGATGGCTGAAAAACAAACAAAAAAACAAAACAAAACAAAAAAGAGCTCATAAAAGCACATGAGTTTCTAAAAGGAGTTACCTTCAAGCTTCACCAACATGCAGATACTCAGCATGCTTAGACCTTAAGGTTTGGAATATTCCAACCGGAACAAAACTCACCAGTGGCTATGGCCCAGTAAACGTCTGATCCACTCAGTAACTCACCACATGCTATGGGAGAATAAACCTGGGACCCAGGCACTTGAAGCAGAATTCGAAATGGAGCGACCCGTGCATTGGAATCCAGCACTGCATCCAGAGCACCTACCAGGCGACCTTCAAAAGAAAAAAGAAAGCGCACCTCTGAGCACGGGGACTGACCAGCTGCCCACTCCCTGCACACAGTTCAGTTGGTGTCTAAACTCGACACCAGAAGGCAGCAGGCTTGGGTCCAGGTCTTCAACTCACCTCTCAAGAGCCTGAGCTCCGTGAGCCCCAGGGCTCTGGCTGCCTAGTACCAGTCACCCAACATCTGGAACAGGGCCTCACATTAACAGGCACTTAAGTACAGATTTGCAGAATCCAATGACCAAGTGAACGAGGGGCCCTGGACAAGTCACCTAACCTGTTTGCTTTCCTTGGTGTCTCCATTACAGAGGCAACATGACTCCATACATAAGAGCTGGGGATCTGTAGTCAGAATGCCTGACTCAAGTCCCAGCTCCCCAGTTTTCAAGCTGTGTGACAATGGGCAAGTTACTTAACCTCTCCGTGCCTTGGTCTCATTTGTAAAATGCAATAATCACAGTATACCTACCTCACAGGGTAATTGTGAGAATTAACGTATGCAACATTCCAAAGGTCTTAAGACTATTTATTGCCTGGGTGTAAGAAGTACTGTTAATATCATCATCTCAAAGGTAGATGAATAATCCCTGCCTACTCCAGAAGGGGACTTTGAGAAGCAAATAATAAACTGAAGTCCTTCACAGACCATAAAGCATACAAAGTAAAAGTTTATCATTCTGTTGTAATGAATATCATCATGAATCCACAGAAACACACGACCCCACACGCCAGGTGGCAGACGATTTCATACTGTCCCATCACTGGTAAGAGTGCCAAGCTTCTGCACTGTAAAGTTACTCCTTTTTCCCTTTGTAATTAACAAGTATTCCATGAAGTACTTTGAAACTACGTTCCTCATTAAATTTTCAACTCCTTTACTGCTATCAGTATGGTTTTGTGTTTTCCCACTTTATCCAATCTAGTATTACGATTATTTTGATGTTCACATGGTCTCTGACTTGGCCAGTGGGAGCCCCTTCAAGCTGGCTTCTGTGTCCTTTGGACAGGTCCCCATTATTCCTTCTACTTTCTGGCATGATCAAATAATCCCAGTTCATCCTGCATTTTTCCTGCTCTAGCCCTGGAATCAGCCATTTCTCCAAGAAGCCCTGGTTCATTTAGTGAAGAGTGGTATTTAAAAGCCAAGATCTGGGAGCCAGGTACACTTACTGCCCTGGTGGGTGCTTGCTCCCAGAGCCTTTCAGTGGACAGATATGTATGTATATGCATATATGTATGGGTATACATGTGTTTACATATGTATACGCAAGTACACATTAACATTTTTATTTTTACACTGATTTTATACATAAAAACTGAGTTCACACCAGTACCTCCAATGGCGATCCCATACCATATTGTTCGTTCCAGTTTCTTTCCACATTTGCAACTCTCTTCTCCAACACCAAGGAACCTAGCTTCCATATTCCTAATGTATTTACTTATCTGATCAATCCTGTTGCTACCAACGTCCCCTTTCTGACAGATGCCCTCTTCACCCTCTTCAGGCTCCAAATGCCCATCCACCCCACCCGTACAATCACCTTGATCTGTCCCACTTAATGGCTTGAGGGGAAGAAAGGGTACGTGAGTTTTTATAGCGATTGTTCCTTAAGCTGCTCAGAATTTTTGCCCCCTTACTGCCTTGCTCTCCACTTACAGATAATTGAGCAGGGCTGAGAGCTGTCAGGTGGATTAAGGGACTGCTACTTTAACGCAGAACAAGCACAGCTGCTTAGTGGGGCTCTGTGGTTAAAAAGCACAGGCAGGGGAGGAGGGGGCAGGGTAAAGTTAAAAGATGCATTTGTAAAAGATTGATAAAACATGTTTGTCTGTCAAAGCCTGGAGGGGGGTGAATGATAGGGAAGAGGGTGGGCACTAGAAAGGTGCTCAAAACCCCACCCATCCCACATGCAGACTTAGCACTTCCCAATTTTAGAGATCGGTTGTAGAATCCACACCTAGTTTGCTAATAAGACAAACCTGAGCAACAAAAGAAGGAAGTGAGAAGGGTGGGAAATAACTTAGCATCAACACAACACAGAAGCAGTCTTTTTGATAAGAATGATTTTTTTTCTCTTCAAGACCCAGGAGCTTTTGCAATGGTCAAGATGTTTTATATCAACACAACCAACCTGGTACCGAACTTCAGGGGCGGGAAGGTGGGGAGGGCAGCAGTGAAGCGAAAAAGGGACTTCTAGCTTCAGCTCCACCCTGTAAAGAATTTGAAGTCCTCACGCCCATCCGAACAACGAGAAGCTGAGCAAACTCACAATCAGTAGTTTTCTGGGACCCATCAGAGAGAGAACTAAGGTCACAGGTCAAAATCATAACCTAGAAATCTGGAGAGAAGGGACAATCCAAAGTCACAGCCAAGATCTGCTCACCTGAAGCAGAAGCTGCTGGGGCCATAAACTGGTAGGAACACTTCAGCAGTGGTTTTGACAAATTGCTGGGGGCTGAGTGTGGCCTAGCAGGAGAGTCAGAAACTGATGGCCACAGTCTTAGGGAGCCCCAAACCCGTACAGTTTTTACCACCAGGTTCTCATTATGAAGAGCCAGGAAATGCCCCCCACCTCCCCCCGCATGCTTGCCCAGGGGGAAGGGAAGAGTCCTCACAGTGTGGTATCCTCAGAGCATTCTCCGTAACACAGGCCTGCTCTCCAGGGGAAAGACTTTTCCAGAACCTGACCCCAGCTGGGTGAAGGGCGCTTCTCTGACTCCAACCTGCTCCAGTCTTCCAGTCTCACCTAAGTGGGGGGTGGGGGAGAGAAGCGTCCAAGAAACATTGTCAAGGACACGCTCCAGGGACACAGACCCACTGAAAGACCGAGACTCTCTGATAAGATTTACAGGGAGCTTCTTCTCCCCATACTTTACCACCATATCAACAGACTCCGGCATGACAGCTGGAAGAGCTGAAAGACTCAGAGTCCACGTGAGGAGTTCGGGTTTTTTGGGTTTAAGTGAACTCTACGCCCAACGTGGGGATTAAACTCATGACTCTGAGATCAAGAGTCCTAAGCTCTGGGGCGCCTGGGTGGCTCAGTCAGTGAAGTGCAGACTCCTAGTTTCAGCTCAGGTCATGACCTTGGGGTCATGAGATGGCGCGCCCCCTCAAGGTCCATGGTTAGCGTGGAGTCCGCTAAAGATTCTCTCCCTCTCCCCCTCCCACCTGGCACACACACGTGTGCTCTCTCCTGCCCCCCACCAAATAAATTAAATCTTAAAAAAAAAAAAGTCACATGCTCTACCAACTGAGCTAGCCAGGCGCCCTGGAGTTCGTTCTTAAGGAAGCCCAAAGACAGAGAGACCAAAGCAAGGACACCTGAGGAATCTGAGAACCTCAGGCACCTGTCACTGCAACACACAAACACAGCCCAAGTCCTGGTCAGAAGCCCATAAAACTCACACTAAAGAACTATTTCTTCAGTTCTTAGTACTCCACACATCCTGTCTGGCTTTCAGAAACAATTACAAAGCATGCCAAAAGGCCAGAAAACACAGTCTGAAGAGAAAGCAAACATGAGCGAACGAGCCTCATGCATGACACAGACGAAATGCCTGGCCAGTACTCTCAGAACCGTCAAAGTCATTAAAAACAAGTCTGAGAAATGGTCACAGCCAAGATGACAACTGCAGGTGAAGTGGTAACCTGAAAGGGACCCTGGAGCAGAAAAAGGCCGGCGAAATCTGAATAAAACACGGACTTCGGTGAACCAACACTGCGCTCGTTTTCTACTGCTGCTCTGACAAGTAACCAGCAACACCAGAGCCTGAAACAAAACAAATTTATTATCTCACAGTCCTGTAGGTCGGAGGCCTGATACAGATCTCACTGAGCTAAAATCATGGTGTCAACAGGTACGTTCCATTCTGGAGGCTCCAGGTGAGAATCCCTTTGCTTCTCTTTCCCAGCTCCCTTTACATGGGTCCCAGCCCCTTCCTCCATCTTCAAAGCCAACACCCCCATGATGAGTTCTTCTTCCAGTTTTAAAGACCCCTGTGATCACATTGAGCCCCGCTGGATAATTCAAGCTCATCTTCCTATATTAAGGTCTGCTGATCAGCAACGCAACTAACTCCACCTGCACCCTTCATTCCCCTTTGCCACGGAACCTAACATATTCACAGGCTTGAGTCTGTTCTGCCCACCACCATAATCCATCGATATCAGCTCGTTCATTGTAACAAATACGCCACACTAAAACAACAATAATAGGAGAAACTGGGTTTGGGGTATAAGAGAACTCCCTATACTACCTTCACAATGTTTCTGTCAATCTAAAACTGTTGTTAAAAATAGAGTTTAGTGGGGCTCCTGGGTGGCTCAGTCGGTTAAGCATCTGCCTTCAGGTCAGGTCGTGATCCCAGGGTCCTGGGATCAAGTCCCACATGGGCTCCCTGCTCAACAGGGAATCTGCTTCTCTCTCTCTCTCTCTCTCTCAAATTAATAACTAAATCTTTTTTAAAAAAACAGAATTTAGTTTTTTAAAAAGTGACAAGGGGAGTCAGGCCAGTCAGCGTCCACCTGCAGACAAGGGCCCCCCACGTCTGTGCAAATGCAGACTGTGCCTTCAGGAGCCCCAGGAACAGACAGGCTCTGAATCTGGGGTAAACCAGAGCACAAACACAAGAGAAATAGCAGACAAGGGGCCAAGATGGCAGAGAAGATGCACAAGTGGGAGGTAGGTCAGTAAGAGTTCTCAGCAGGAAAACCAAAATGAGAAATGAAACATCAGGAAGAAAAATATAACCTTAAATTTCTGAATAGTGAAGGAAAAAGGTTAGTGTGGCAAAGAAATCAAAGTCATGAGAAAATAGGGTATGATGTCCACAAATTTCAAATGGGTCAAAGAGAAAAATATATTTATGCTCCATCATCCACAAACCCACACTTCTAACTCCCTTCAGACTGACTGGGCTCTCTCAAGCCCCGACTGGCGAAGTCTTTGCTCTGTCTCCACGATCGAATCCCCCCAGATGCA